TAGAATTATATTGTTCACAAATACATGTGTAAGTGGGAGGGAGAGAAAAGGACCAAGCTTTGGTGAAAACAATGGATGGTGGGATCACATCTCTTGTCTTACAAATTATTGTGTTCGGTCCTACATGTAAGCACCCTAATCACTATCACACAACATATGAAACATTTTCTTCAGATATATTCCATTTCTTCTGTCCATAACGATAGTGCTAACTAGAGCATAGTATCCTTCTACCCATGATACATGTATGTATGTGTGTACCATGAACAAAGCATGCATTACTACGTACATTAGAATCACAGTTTCCAGCTGCATATTTATGCAGGACATGGAATATCTTTGGTCTGTTTGTAATTCATAATGTAATGCCTGTACGAAGGAAGAAGTATCAATTTTTGTCTTCAAATATCAATTAATTTCCCACCTTGAATCAATTATTGTTCATTCAACAAGTGTTGTCATGTCGTATGCTATAGAGCTACATTGCATACTTTGGGTAGCTTGCATATGTATGCAGGACATGGCATATCTTTGGTCTGTTTGCAATTCATAATGTAATGCTTGTACGAATGAAGAAGTACCAATTTTTGTCTTCAAATATCGATTAATTTTCCACCTTGAATCAATTATTGTTTATTCAACAAGTGTTGTCATGTCGATCCTATGCTATAGAGCTACATTGCATTTTTTGGGTAGCTTGATTTACGGTATTCAACGACGGTAATAATGTTACCGGGGTAGTAATTATCAGTAAAATGAACAAAGAGAAACGGACAAGTAGTATGGCTGATAGTTCTTATTACAAATTTGTCAGTGTGTCCCCCCAGCCTATTACAGGGACATGACTTTTATACTGGTTAATAGCTATAAAACATAACCGTTATACTATAAGTACAATGGTCTTCTAATAATTGTGGCGCTTTCCTTTATAAGTGCGTTGGGCCTCTATAACTGCTCCTTAATGAGATAATTGTCACGCCCTGTTTTGCATGACCGTGTTAGACCTAATGAATGAACGCGTCAACTGGTTAGCACTCTATATGGGTAGGGGGCGACAATAGCATTAAGGGTTGTTCTTCCTCAGACGCTAAGGTTTGGCCGAGTCAGGCATATCGACCCGGTTATGTGTGGGGAGTTTGTCACTAGTCTTGGACTTGACTATGAATGAGACCAATGCGATTTGAAGGGCACAACTCATCGGGAGCTATTGTCGTTCCCTTGATGATCTTAAGGCAGTGCGAAACTAGTGTGACAAGTATGGGAGGTAAGGCTGGTCCATGGGGTAAGAGGAGACCTAGGATGACGCACAGGCGTTGTGCGCTGTGCTGGACTCTAGGCCCGTGATAAGTGGTATCAGAGTAGGTACTTATATTTGCTGCACGCTATGGTGGGGTCCTTAAGGGGAGGACTATGCGAGCACGGGTGGCGCATAAGGGGCACACGTGATGATGACGGTTCCACCTCGGTGATCCGCAGGGGGCAGATGGGTCCTAGAGAGGAAATGACTCGGGCGGTCCGCCAGCTCAGCCGGACTACTTTGTGGGATGTGTCTTGGAAAATACGACGCGTAGGCAGTATAGTACGACGATTCTGGCAGAGTCCTTCTCCCCTAGCACGTGGGCATGCAAGATTTTGGGTGGGGGTGAATGGCACGACCTGTTTTGCGTGACTGTGTTAGACCCAATGAATGAACGGGCCAACTGGTTAGCTTGCTATATGGGTAGGGGGCGACAATAGCGTTAAGGGTTGTTTTGCCTTAGACGTTAAGGGCTGGTCGAGTCAAGCATGCTGACTCTCTTAAGTTTGGAGAGTTTGTCTCTAGTCTTAGACTTGACTATGAAGGGAAGTGATGCGATTCAGAGGGCACAACTAGTCAGGGGCTATTGTTGTTCCCCTTATGAGCCCAAGGTAGGGCGAAACCAGTGTGGCACGTATGAGGGGTAAGGTTACTCCGCGGGGTAAGAGGGTCCCCCGGGACACCGCATATGTGTTGTACTCAGAACTATCAGCCATACTAACTTGTTTGTTTCTCTTTGCTCATTGTACTACTAATTATTTTTCTGATAACATTATTACCATCAGATAGTTATGTTCGATTTTAACTAATCAAGAATTATTCTAATACTAGTTGCTTAAATCATAACCTTGAACCCGATATGATACCGTAGTTAAATGAAACCTAACTCTTCCTACTTGAGTAGGAATCAGTGATACAAGATATATATAGTTACATGTACTTTAGTATATGTGAATATATGTTTGTATCTATTTATAAATAGCATCTTACATGAGGATGCCAGTGGTAGAAATTCTAGTATTATATTGACTTAACATTATATTTAACTGCAAACAACGGTTAGGGTAATAATATTATCGGTCACGGGTGCTCATTGAAGCAGCCTTGTGATGAGCTCAAGCTTTAGAGCCACTATCTTCACCATCATATTATTGGTTTAATTTGGACCAAGCTCACCCCAAAATGTACTTGTCCATGCAAAAAGACAAATAACGTGTGATTTAAAAAGCTTTTTTCCCACTAATAATTGTCAATTCTTGTCAACATATCTGGAAGAAACTCCAAAATATTGTGTTCATAAATTAGTCAAGTCAAGTCAAGAAGTATTTAACGATAGTCACACAACCCTGGTATATAAATGCCCGACAATCGTTTGTAATAATAGAGAACATTCAATTGAATACAACAACTATCTAGTGAATATCAATAAATTAAATAGTCCTTGTCGATATTGCAAAAGGTGAATGTGAATTCCATGCCAGCCAGCACTTCAATTGGAACACAAACTACATTTGCAAGAAACATTATATGAATTACCAAGTAGGGCAGAGAAATTAAACAAGTGTACTATTAAAGTTGGTCCATTAGAATTAGATGATCAGAAACAGGAGTCATTGGGTCGAATGTTACATGACTTAAATCCTCCCACCAACGGCAAATTATACCATGGATCAGGTTTACCTTGCATTGTAGACCCTGGTTCACAAATAACCTTTAGATTCTGTATCGGCACATTTTGTACCTGCAGTTGATAGTTTCTATACCTGTAGCTATCATATTATGTGTCAACAATTATCAAGTCAGATTCTGTATCTATAATTGACACATCATGTACATGCAGTTGATAGTTTCTGTACATGTAGCTATCATATTAGTTTACATGTACAGAAATTGTTAACGGTAAGTACAGAATGGATTAACTGAAGGTACATAATTTTTGTATCATGGTTCATAATGCAATATGTTGGTCCATGGTATAACAATTGCCCACCCACCCCCCTAAAAAATTCTGGGAGTGTTGATAATAGGTGGTGGTGTTGGGTTTTGGTGGGAAGTCCAGAAAATTTAAAATAAGTGCAGAACTGCAGAAGCACTAAATCAAGTATGTCAGATTTGTGTCTTAGCATATGGGATTAGAATCAAGAAAAGGCATCAGGGTTCAGATATTGTCTGATGCACTGAAGAGTTGAGCAGATGGGGGTAGGGGTAGGGGTACCACCACCCCCACCCCCCAAAGCCTGCAGAAAAGCCATGGCAACCACTCATGCAAGGTGGGAAAAGTCAGAGAGTGCTCAATACAACATCATATCATTTCCAGCACTCAAATAAACTTTGGTATCCAAAACTGGTATCTTGGGGCTGCCCCACTCACCCTATTGAGTTATCACACTTTGTGAACACACTTCTTCCTTGTTCCCTTGGCAATAACCAGGCCCTGTGCCCCCCCCCCCCCCCTCCCCTAGGCCTAGTACTAACCCCTATCTAAATCTCCTTCCCCACATTCATAACTCCCACAATTATTATTATTATTATTATCTGCTCAAATTTTGGGACCATTCCATTGCCTTATCACTTAACACAACTCTGAACTCTTTAATGCCTCCTCAGTCTTCCTTGCAACTCTTTCATTGTTAAAAAATGGGGCCATTTACCCTTCTGTGCTTCTTACATACATATGTTTGGTTAATGGTTTAATTAATTAAAGTTGGGACTGCATTTATTATAGCATCTTTTCTTTACTGTGTTAAGTGTAACCTAATTAAGTCCCTCAAACTTTAAAAATCTTAATCAATTTGGTCTTCCGTTTGTTTAGTCGTCAGACATCCGTTTACTCGGACCAAATTGATAATTTTGCTACAGTCAATGAACCACTTAAGGTCATCACATGCACAATTTCCTCTCTTATTAAACCGAAGAGTTAATTACCGTAATGGTCCGTTAACTATAATGAAATTATCAATTTGGTCACGAGTAAACAGACGTCTGAGGACCAAATTAGTTAAGATTTTTAAAGTTGAGGAACTTAATTAGGCAAAAAAAATGACAATCTCTCACCAGTTTTGCAGAAGATCATTAGAGACTGATGTGTAGTAGGAAATGGCTACTTGGTGCTAAGAAAGAACCGACTTCATAAGATGAGGGTACTGATAAGAGTCTAAAGCGTGAGCTACTGCAAACATCCAACTTCTCCATGGGAAGGCCTATAGTGATATGATCCTACAGAAGATCATTAGAAACCGATGCGTAGCAGGAAAGGGTTGATGTATGTATAGGTTGATGTATATATAATATGATTGAATTGAACAGAACCTGCTTTTGTTTTTTATCATTAATCAGTTCTATCCCAGAATGATTGACTTGACTCATTGTTATATACATAGATATTTTTATCTACAAAAAAACAAAGATTTGATCATAATTAAGTTTGAATCCTTAACCTAGCTAATGCAGTCTGCATACCTCACAACACTTTTTCACTTTAATTTAATCTTAACTTTCTCAACACTTATATGATAGATAGATGCTAATTTCAGCTCTGTGAGATGCTGTGTATAGTATTGAGTGTTCCCAAAAGAATCTAGGCATGGTAGGACCTTTCAATTCTGTGCACATAAATAGTGGAAACCCACTAACACTTGTTTCATGCCAACAATGATTAGGGACATTATATGAAGTTTCCTAGACCATATCAAGTGATACTAGATTATCCAAGTTTTACTGTCATTCCAGCATTAACAAAATATCTAAAAGACTAAAACTTCCCTTCAACATGAGCTCAGAGCTGCTTCAATATATACACATCAACTTCTTGATTTGCACCATGTAATGTTAACTACTCATCGAGAAAAGAAAAAAAAAAAAAAAAAAAAAAAAAAAAAAAAAAAAAAAACCAAAATGATAAGAGGTTACAAGATGCATATCATCTTCTTCCGCTGCTATTTCTCGAGTGTTAGGAGGGATCCCGCCTAAAAGCATGAAAGGCTAATTAAAGTTAATTTAGGGACGAGAATTCCTCATCTTGCCAATGAAGTGGTTAAAGGGTAGCTTCAGGGGGGAACAAAATTGTCTATCCTCGTAGAGATGAGTGACGACCACCTTCTGCTTCTTCAACATTACCTCTAAGTTTGGATCTTGGGGTTGGGGTTGGGGTTGGGGTTGAGAGCTCGCCTTTCTTGAAGCGGGAGCCAACTGATCATTGACACTGTGATTGTTCAGAACGAAGGAGAAGCTTGCGTCGACATGTGGGGGTGGATAGCCCAATTTGCTTCCATCTCGAGACATGCCTGGATCACCATTATGCTTTTCTTGCAACAAAGTGTTCACAGCACTTGTGCATGGAACCCCTACGGGGCCCAACCGCAAGGATAAGTCACACTCGGTTCCAGTTTGGTTATCTGCGAGAGAGTTAACTCTTGGAGGAGCGTGACAAGCATCCAAGTTCTGCATCGAAGAAGTGTTTTTCCAAATACACCTTCTTGCATCATCCTTCAGCTGATGAGGGGCGAAAAGGTTCTTGTTGTTGTCACACCTGGAGTCGTCTGCAAGGTGAAACTCGGAGCCAAAATACAACGGATAAACAGAATGGGAACTCGGGGAAGTAGGCAATCTTTGGTTAACACATCCCGGTAAGAAAGGAAATCTCTTGTCACTACTAGTATGATTTTGAACTCTACTGGCGTCAGTTTCAAAGGAGTGGAAAGCAGCAGGGTTCATGGCATTCGGGGCAGTCATAAACCTAACATCCGTCGCCACAAATGGACTATAACCATTAGGCATTCCATGAATTTTGTCGCGTAAGCTAATAGGAGAACTCGAGGGAGCCTCGGGGTCCCTAGAACCGAGGTAACACACCGTGGAATTGTTTCGTTGGCTCCTCGATGTTCTTCTTGGAGTGCAGCCCAAGTGCAAAGCAGCTAAAAGTTGGTGCAAACAAAAAATCAAATTCACAATTCTAAACCCCTCACACTACCAATTTGAAAGGAATTGAAATTCACAACTCCTCAAACAGCTAATTAAAAAGCAGTAATATACAGGGAAAGTGTCGAATTTAAAGGACTTTTGAAACATTCTGGGAATCAACTGAGAATATGAGCAGAGAGGCGACAGATAGTCAAATGTCACAGGAGAACCATGAAAACATTTGAAAATGGAACACAAAACACATTATAAGTCAAGAATCAAATTTTGAAAAAGCAAGAAACCAAAATGGGGTGGGGGTGTGGGGGGTACCTTCAATACAAGGCTGTAAAAGCTCTCCAGTCTCAGTACTCTCATCTCTTTTGATTATAGTGTCAATGGCATCATTAACTCGATCCCAAAGAGTTTTGAGATCTATGTACTCAGCCTAACCAAACAAACAACACATATTGCAGCAGTACTATACTGGGAAAAAGGAACCAAAAACTAAAAAAACCAAAACTTGGTCAAAATCCATTGGGCATATATATATACCTCAGAATTAGCTTTGAAGTACATAATTTCCTCAGCCTTCAACACAACAATAGGGAGCTTCTCTTGCCACTCCTTGTTCTTCTTGGTAGCAGAGCTATGACTCTCATTCACAATCCTATTTTTATTTTGCAAGACAGCAAGAAAGCATTAAAAAGAAAGAGTTTTTAAGGGGAGAGGGGGGGAGAGTTTACCTGAAAATTTCTTGAATTAGAGAACCCCTCATGGGCTGGTGTCTATCACTGTGCCAAGCTCTCCTCACACACTCATAGGGTCTTGGACCGGGTCTAGGCATCTTTTCTTTTGCTTCTGAAGAAGAGGAGAGAAGAAGAAGAAAAAGTATGGAGGAAGAAGGGTTCTTGAGAGAAGTAGTTGTACTAGTTTGTTTTCTTCTTAAAGGCTTTGCTTTGCTTGACTTGTGACTTTCACTCCTGGCCCCTTATTTACATTTCAAACAATGCAGTACCATAGATTAACTAGTCTAACAGTGAGCAATTGAAAAGAACACAACACAGGAGACTCAAAGATGTTTCAACATCGGAATAAGGACTTCTTAGGTTGGGTGTAGGGTGTTAGGTGTGGGGGTGAAGTGAGGTGAGGTGGGGGATGGGCTTTTACTCCTCTTTTTTCCTTTTAGCCTTTTTTTTTTTTTTTTTTTTTTAATATTTTGGAGTAAACAATAAACAATGATAGAAAAAGAAACAGATGTCTGCACGGGCTTAGTCAGTAATAGCAGTGTGAAGATTATGTCTATAGCGAACAAACTTCTAGTGTGCATCAATATTTGGGGCAAAGTATTCCGTGGACTCAGGACTACCATGCAAGGTAGACTCGAATCTAAATGTTCAAAACTTACATACTAAATGTTTACAATTTACTTTTTAAAAATTTACAATTTGTATACTACGAACGTACATACAATATTAACATATATATAATTTGATTACCATCTTTTGTATTCACAAGTTCGTTTCAAATACTATACTACAGTCACACAATATTAACATATTAGGATTTGATAACCATAATTGTATTCACAAATTTCTTGTGTTTTGACTTAAAAATACAATTTATATTCTAGAAATTCACAATTTTAATATTAAAAATATATAATTTATACGTTATTTAAGACTATAATCCACGTATAACAACTCGATATATGATCATGTCTACTTAGTCACTGAATTACTATAATTTCCTTCCTCCACATATTCGGTTGGGCCGAAGCATGAAAGACTCTTAAGATTGGGAATAAACCATGGGAGAAAAAGAAAAATAAACGTATACACAGGGAAGTCAATGGATGCACAGATTAAATGACCTCGTACTTGAAGTTCAATATTTGAGATTTTAATTCTCTAAATTACATTTTTGAGCCTCAAAATTATACTTTTTGAGGAAATTGTTGGGGTAACGGTTTCTTTCATGATTTCCGTAATATTTTATTGTTTTTATTTTTATTTCCTATCTATTATTTTAAGAAAAAGGAGAAGGAAAATGTTAGGCGTACTTGAGAGATTAGACACCACGTATATTCATTTTATTGAAAGAGCAAAAAATAAAAAATAAATAAAAAATAAAAACTTTACAATCCATTATTTTAAATCAATTAGTACATGTCAAGAAAATAAATGTAATATAATTCTTTCATGGAAAAATTACATTTTTTGTCTTTCAATTATACTTGTAGTACAAACTTAGTCCATAAGTTATATGCGTGACTATCTTTAACTCTTAAATTATGCACGAAGTGACGATTTTAGTCTCTCGGTGACTATTTTTACCACCAATTTGCCACATAATAAAGTGACTAATTTGGTCTTTAGAAGACTAAAATTGTCACTCCACTCATAACTTAGAGGTTAAAGCTAGTCACTCACGACTAAACTTATACCATGGGTATAATTAGAGAACCAAAAATGTAATTTTCCCTTGATGCTTTAACTAATCAGTATTTTAACAAAATTCTTTTACTCAAATTGAAAAAGGAAAATGTTACTGACCCTATCATTATCATTGAATTTTCACCACTATATAATGAGACAATTTTTGTATAATTAACATTTTTTATGTTTTATTTTTATTTTAAATCTTAATATGATGCAACAAGTAGTAATTAATAAAGAATGACTTTTATAACATAGTGGCTGATGCGATTGCAAAAGGAGCCTTACAACAAGACGAGGATATTCGACATTTCGATTATGCGCCAAAGAGCATTCAAAGACATGTGTGAAGATGAACTTGGCTTCCTTGGCGCCATGAACACGGTGAGAATCAGCTAGTGATCATGGGTTGTCCCTTCCTATCTTTGCTATAAAAATAAAATAAAAAAAAAAGTAATTTTTATAAAGGTGTAGAACATTATTCAATTGAAAAACATATCGAGTCTTTCATTATAAACAATTTGTAAACTCCATTGTACACTTTGTTCAAAGTCAATCACATGCAACATTCCTAAATTTAAAAAATATTGTTCTTTGCCAAAAAGAGAAATGTGAATAAACAATGAGATTCTCTAAATCTCTTTTATTGTATGCATCTCTGATTTCTCTAAATTTTTTATTTTAACCCAATAGTTAAGACAATATGTAACTCAATGCTTATTCAACTGTAAGATCAAATTTATAAAGATCGAATTTGAATTAATTTCACACACACACACACACACACACACACACACACACACACACACATATATATATATATATATATATATATATATATATATATATATATATATAACTCTTATACTAAGTACTATCTCAAAGTAAATAGTGAGGACTCATATCGAGTACAAAATTAATATTGTTTCTACAATTTTTAATTTCTAATGTGTATAAGAAACATGATGTCATTACTTCGATAATTTATAGCAAACAAAAATTTGTTATTTTCATTATGTGAATCTACAAAAAAGTGTTTACATCAAAAAATTGTGATAAAGAGTAAAAATTAGAAATATAAAATGAGAGTACACTAAATATTTTTCATATATATATATATATATATATATATGAAATAGTAGAAAAAATTTATTTAAAAAAAATGGTTTGGTTGGGGGAAGGGGGGGTGTCCCCCCACTCATCCACATGCCAGCATCCCCTGGCCCCAAGGGTCTCTCTCTGCTTTTGCACCCACTCAAATTGTGACCATTCATGTGGTTGGCCGGAGTGGGGGTAGGGGGTAAGGGGGGAGTTACAGTAGAAAGATTTTGAAGAAATTATTGTCACTGTCGGTGGGGAAGCTAAGCAAACCCCAGCCTCATAAAAACATCATCATCCAGTTCTCTTTCTTCAACAGTGTACACATACCAACCCTTTTTAGCTCTCGGCCCGTTCATACTTCTAACGCCATTCCTTTTTCTTATAACTCTGCCCTACACTCTTCACAATATCCTCCATCTCAACAACTACCCTTTTATTTTCTTCATTTTTTCATATATATATAGAGGAAGCTTCAAGTGCGGCGGTGTCAGGGCCGATTTTCAATTTTGTGTGGTCCCGTTTTTAAAATAAATGAGGCCCTATTTTTTTTCTAATAATAATAAAAGGATTTTTTGAAAAAATGAAAGATGTCACAAGCTAGAATTGAACCTTTAACCTCCCAAAGGAAGCACAATAGTCACATCTTTCTAACATTCCTACATGTAATCATTCAAGATTAATTGTAATTTTTATGTTTTTTAATATCTTAACTAGCTATGTAAAAATTAAATATTGGGCCCTCTAAAATTTGGGGCCCTGTGCTGTTGGGCTGCTTGCACAGCCCAAAATCTGGCTCTGTACGGTGTGACGTCACCAATAGTTCAACAAATATACACCATCAACGTTAAGAAAATACATCACAAAAACACACACAAATTAGGTACGCATCACCAAAAACACATCATTAGGTGTGATTAAAAACACCATACAGTGTTCGGAAATGGTGTATTTTTTTGAGTCTAATTTTTGGTGTTTTTTTTTATATTTCATTGTAGTGTGTTTCTCTTACACTGTTGGTGCATGTTGTTAACACTGTTGGTGTATTCTGAAATTCCCCCACACCGCCGCATCTAAAGCCCTCGCCGCATTTGAACTTTTATATATATATATATATATATATATATATATATATATATATATATATATATATATATATAATCGCACTCAGGTGCGAATGCTTCACCCAGGCGCGAAATAGGAATGAATTCTGTCCGTCCACGTGTCCAGATCTAATGGATGAGAACCACTGATTTTTTAAAAAAACGCAATGACATTTTTGTAAATAATTAAACATCGAAGTGCAAGTAAAATGTATTACAAGTGCATGTAAAATGTATTATAGGTGCAAGTAAAAATTTACACTGAGCATCAATACTTAGTTGCACCTATAGTTCTAAGTAGTTGCACCTATAGTTCTAAGTAGTTGCACATATAGTTATAAGTAGTTGCATCTAGGTGTATGAATGTTTGCGAGTGATTTTCAGGGGTATTACTACCTGCTGAACTCAGATCAATGAATGTTAACAAAGCAAAATTACATGCACTAATAGGTGAAAGTAGGTGCACCTATAGTTATAAGTAGTTGCGCCTATAGTTATAAATAGTTGCACCTATAGTTATAAGCACACCCAGGTGCATGAATGTTTGCGGAAAGTGAATGCTAACAAGGCAAAATTACATGCACTTTATAGGTAAAAGTAAGTGCACTTGTAAGTGATTTTACTTGCATTTTGATGTTTAATTATTTACGAAAATGCCACCGCGTTTTTTTTAAAGTTATTAGATCTGGACACGTGTCGCGCGCTGATTCGTTCGCATATTCTTTCCTGGACACTTATTCGCACCTGAGTGCATCCCTATATATATATATATATATATATATATATATATATATATATATATATATATAAAGGGTTCAGGTGCGGGGATGGCTTCCTGTGCGGTTGTGAGGTTGGACGCACTCACGCACCATAATCATTTACATAGCGCATCTTAAATACACAAATCACCACGCTCATTAAGTCCACAAACAAATCACATTCACTTACCTTTAAGTACAAAATCCAAGCACATTAAGCACATAACAAAGCACTTTGAGCACAAAACTCACACACTTAAGATTTTAAAATGTCTCACATTAAGCACAAACTCACGCACATTAAGTACAAAACACACGCACATTAAGCACAACCTCACGCACATTAAGCACAAAACTCACGCACTTTAAGTATTAACTCACAGACCTTAAGTTTCAACAACTACTAACATTAATCACTAACCTCACACACATTAAGCACAAACCCTACGCACATTAAGCACAAACTCTACTCACATTAAGAACAAATCTCACGCACCTTAAGCACAAAAGCCCACACATTAAGTTTTAACAACTACTCACATTAAGCACAACCCCACGCACATTAAGCACATAACTCACGCACCTTACGCACAAGACTCACGCATCTTATATACAAAACTCACGCACATTAATCACAACACCGCTCACTTTAATTTTGACCTAGATGCAAAAATTAAAAAATTGCCACCGTGTTTTTG